CTGTTTGTGCATTTAAGAAAAACAAACACACAAACAAAATCTATAGGGTGTTTCGGTGACCTCGGTCAAGTTAATCACAGTCGATGAGAAACATTTTAATGTCATATTTTTCATCTAATGGGGTCAAAACACAAGCTACTTACCGAAATACTTCAAACAGGAAATTATTTGAATTTGCAATGTGTACAATGACTCACACAGCTCAACGGATGTGCATTAATATGTGACCCTGACAAAAACGGTGATATAGAATCATCGCAGTAGATTTTTTTCTTGTTGCTTCTTGCCCACAAGAAACCACATTACATCCAGTCCTAGTAGATCTTAATGCGTTACACCCATAGTCTGTATATACGACAAGAAAACGTGTCCCTCTGGTGTCTGTATGGCTTTGGTTATATAAATTATTAACACCACGTCACTTACATTTCTCTAAAAGAAAGCTTCTCTCATTTGAGGTTATTATCACACTGAAGCACGTCCAAGTGTGTCCAGTTAGTTTAGTTTTTAAGATATTTGATGAAATAAATGGGTTCAAAGGGCTCATGGGTGAAACGTCATGAGCTGGGACTGTAAGCGTCTATTAGCGTGACCTCAATACCACGACTCCAACCATCGATCGATGCAGACTCCGGCTCCGAATGACGTCAAAAGCACAAATTAGCACGAGCATGTTCACGACCTGCTTCAGATCTGTTCAGTGGTTCTGTTGTAATGTTGTAAAGTTTAACCCAACCTCAGGTTATTTACATCAACCATTAATTTTTCATTGGTCCCGTTTATGTGACATATTTACCACTGACATAAAACACCCAGACTTTACGAGTTGACAAGCAGCGCCTGAACGCACCATTAAACATGTGACTGACACGGATCAGGGCGAATGACGGCCCACAATCCTCCGGGGCGCCGAGGTGAGCTCTGTCAACGTGGCCTTGTAGCACATGACTCGTTAAAACCTAAGAACTTCACAGACGGACACAATGGACGATGATTCTTTTTAAACTCAAGCCTCAGATATGTCTGTGTTTACGTCTCTTGAATGACAGATTCGTTTAACGTGGTCAGTCCAGACATTTCATTTCAATTCAGCGTTTTTTGACCTTTTCGGTGCAACGCAGTCCTTCATTTTCCCTGATGGCTGCAATCAGAGAAGCAGGAGTGTGCCGGCCCTGTGTATTTAGATGTATTTGACTAAAGTGAAGCAGTCAACACTTGTTTTTCCCTCTGCCCGTTGCTTCATTTGTATTTTAACAGGCACAATAAATCATGTGGCATGTTTTCAGGGCTCCGGTGGGGGGGGGGGGTTGTCGTCGAAGGGTGTTGTCACCGAGCGCTCACTGAGAGAGAACGCACAAATCTATGTGTCAGGATGGACGACACAAACATTTCTCTTTACAGGCCTGTCAAGTACAGTACTGAGCCCCCCCCCCTCCCCCCCCGGAGGAGCGCAGATAACAGGGCGCATGTGATAAGCCTCAATTTCACTGGAAACCACACAATCCCAAGAAAATCAATAAGTGGTTACTGTCCAGGCTGCACAGACGATCTGCCACATTTAACGCAGCAGCACGTTGATGAAAAACCTTCATATTGGCAGTTAATTTACATTTCATTACAACCCCGAGGGACGCATTCAAACGGTAGCAACTGATTAAGATGAATGAGATAAACTAAAAACATCCAGACTTTCTCAAAAACTGCTTGATCCATTAATGGCTCTATTTCTACAGACTAATATTTCTCATTTATTTTCATTCTCGTTACGCGGATCGGATTTTAAATATGTTTACGCGTCAGGATGAATTTGAGGGGAGGCGATGATTGGTGCTGCCATAACGACGAATGTGAATCTGCTCATTAAGCTGCAGAAGGAGAGTTAAAGGTTTTTTTTTTAGAACAGAGAGGAGACATTCTTCTCCAGCTGTGAGACCACGCACTGAAAAATTTAAATAACATCCTCCATGCAACAAAGATGCAGAGAGGGTTAGAAGGATCTCCACGTCGACGCTGATTAGACTTGTCACGTGTGTCGGAAAGAAGAAACTCTCACTCTAGAACCTGCAGCATCATCTCACTGCTTCTTTACATCACATCCTCTGTGTCTCTAACACGTGAAGCGACTCAGACCTGAGGAGACATGATCGTCACGTTAAAGGCTCATTACTGTTCCTAATCCTGTCAAATCTTCATTTGAGGTAAAAAACGACGTTCTTCACGCTGAGTAGAATTATGAAATATGAGCACTGACGTATGAATTCTTGATCGGCTGAAAACTATGTTATTCTACCTGTTAAAGTAATTTTAATTAATTTCTCAACAGCCTTTTTTTTTAAAGCACTTTGAATTATATTTGATTAGTTTGAAATGTGCCATTTAAATACATATTGATTGTGTAATTCTATCTGTGAAACTCTTCACGTCGTCATGGTGAAAATTATTTTAATATATATTAATTATGTACCACGGAATCCCTATTATAAAATTGGTTAACATCTGCAAATCAACACTCACTATTTCTAAAATCTATTTTCTCTTTCTACTTCCACTGTTTCTATGCTCTGTTCCTTTTTTCTTTGGGCATTGCTTTAAAGTTTCTTCAGTAATCCCCATGTAGGTGCCAGAGCTCGACCACAGTGTGGCGCTGCTCCACCAATAAAACCTTCAGCTTGTTTTTTTTGGCAAGAGGAAGCAGGAGTGATGCTGATAACTGACTCAGTCTCTGACTGATTAAGATCTCTGTGGAGACTTCATGCAGGAGTGAGTGTGTGTGTGTGTGTAGTGTTGCAGGCATTTTACTGGAGCGGCAACAGGCATTAAAAACTGATGTGTATACTGGCCTGAAAAATATATACTGCCAACTCATTTTCATGGAGCGTGAGGGGTGAAAAAGGGAAGCATTAGGGAAAAGGTTTTACTCCTAATAATATAATATATAATATTTAATATGCAGTGAGAAGATAATGAGACAGAGATGATAATCTGACTGACACTTTTGATTCAGTCAGAATCTGTTAATTTGAAAAACATGTACAACAGGAAGTAAAGTTGTAGAAAGGGACGATAGATTTAAAAGAACTCGGCTCTTAATTTCCCTTAAATTTCTGCTGATTCGATCTTAACTTCTATCCATGTGTAAAATAGCTCCCAACAGACTCCTGGACGCCTCATCTCATTTATCGCATCCAGCTGACAGGCTAAAGAAATGTTGCAGCTCCTTCGGTGCTCTGCATGCAGAGGGTGGCCGCACCGTTCGCCTCACGGGAAGAGGAATATTCTGTTTAAATGCAACGCAGGTCTGATGCAAACATTTATACGAAGGTCCTGATTAGTAGAAATGAAAAGCACTTAGCTCTGATCAGCACCAGCATTACTCACTGAGCACTGATGAACACCAGGAGGGACCGACGAGTGACAAAGAGCACCTCGGGGGTGTTGTAAACTCTTATTATCTGTGTGACAGAGCCTAGTGGAGATGGAGCGGCGCTGCCAGGGGTAATAAAGCGAAGGAATACGAGTCTGGCTTTTGATCCCGGCCCGGGAAATAAGGAAGGTCAGAAGGTCACAGGCTGAGAGATGAAAAAACGGCACGAAAGAAACGATCCCAAGGAAAAAAATAGATCTTTTCACTCCCGTCTGGGTAAACAGGTTATTCTACCTCCAGGTGCGTGAGGCCGAAGGGAGAGAGCGAGTTTGTTTGTCAGAGTTTACACATCAGGCTGAGAAACCTTTGCTTCGAATGATAAAGACAAATAAAAACCACGACAACATCGCAGATAACCAACAACAAGAACGCCCTCTTCTTCTTTTTGTCGACCAGGAACAAGTTGTATTTCAACATGTCGCTGAGTGAACGTCCATTCATCTGCACCGAACCATTTGGAGAAAATCAAGATTGTTTGTGTAAGACTGTGATTCTTTATAAAGTCGAGTGAAGTGGTTTAAAAACTCATCATGTTTGGACTTTAAATAAATCTAAAGTGGGGATGAAATGATGTTTTCATTCACATCTGTCTGATTACTGGAAATGTATCAATGCTTTGTTAACTCTCTCACATTGAACCGATCATGTGGGTACGAAGGTGACGTGAGTCTGTGCGTCGCCTTCCTCCACCTCCCACGACTCTGCAGCACAGTGATGCATTGTGGGAGCAGAGTGTGGAGAGCTTTGAGAAAAGATGAATTTTAAATATATTGAGATTTTCCACAAGCGATTTGTTTCCGTTAAACCAACCAAACAAAAACCCGAGAAGGTGACGGAAAATACCGAAGAGAAACGGCCACTGAATAACAATCCTGCCAGTAGGGGGGGTGAGATCACGGTACGAATATTGGTGGGGGGGTTTTCTGGACGTGACTACAAACAACACACTACAGTTGTAGTAACGACATATGAAAAAAGTAGCTGCGGTTTCTTAAGAGATGTTTTAACACCACAGAGAGAAACGTCCACTTTTACGTTGGGACGCCGGGAGCAGGGACGCACCAACCCCTACTGGTTAGAGGCTGTCACTGCAATTCATTGGTTTTCACTCTGTTGCACAAATGTCGATATGTTGCACGTGAACGGAAAGGATCATCGATTTTAGGGATTCTGATTTAGAAGAGAGAGATAGAAAATGAGCTCTTTCATTAAAAAAGTTAAAGAATCTTGTAGAATTCAGTTTTTAAATAAACTGTTCGCGGGCTGTAGAATTAAAAAGCCTTTTTCCTCGATAAGACTCTGTTTACCATCTGCTCTGTTTTCCCTTAGAACGCAACCTGCATCTTCTCCAGTTCGTCTGTATCCAGGCTTCTAAACTTAGTCGCTGTCATGTGTGCTCTGGTGTAATGCAACACCGGATGCAGAATACAGACATCGTGTTGAAGCTGCGTTGGATAAAGAGGCTGAACTGTGCTCGGCCATGATGAGCCTGTGCAGTGAAATAGCTAAAGCTTCAGGAAGCCATTACGTTCATGAAAAAAAGAAAGACATTTTATTTCAACCCTACAATGGTTACATGGAAATACACTGATATGTACTTACAAAAATGTCTCAGAGAATAAAATAATTTCACATAATTGAAGATGAGTATTTTTTAGTGTTTTAACAGCTGTTGCATGTCAGCGTTTTTCTTTTTCGACATTTCTCTGCTTCCGGGTAAAAAGGGAACAATGAACCGTCGAAACAACAGCTGACTTCTTGCGTTTCTCAGTGTGAAAAGAGTTTGTACACGGTCACAAAAACATGATTAGTTTCTCTGCACAACCCTCTGACCTCTCTCTTCTGACAAGGCGGTTACATAACAATGTATTTGAACGTGAGCATAATATGTAATATTGACAAGTAATAAAGTCTCCAGAAAAAAAATGAGTACTCTGACCATAATCAATACTACATTTCTCTGCAAAATGTTTTCCCTCTGCATCTTTGTCCAGCAGGATTTCTCAAGCTTGGATCCCAGAAACACAAAAATGATAATAAACAGAAATTAGGCACGGCATTTGCACTCAACACTTGAGTTACCACATTCATAATGCTCGACTGGGGGGGAAGTTGAAAGCAGCGGCATAAGCACATTCATGGACACCGGATCATGCCTAGTGTCAGCTCTCATGCACTTGTCATGCTCGTATGTCGTCTCTGACATAAGATCAGAATGATGTGTCTGTTTGTTAGGCAATAAATTCCAAAATAAAAGTCTCTTTGCGATTGCCGTGACTGGTTAGAACACTGTGGACACGTGATTAAACGGTGTCAGGTAATTACTTTTGATTTATCTCCCCTCTTGAGATCACATTAAGGCATTATGAATGTGTTAACTGTATCTAAAACAAAGCAGCAACACTCTGTTCACACTGTATCTCAGAGGAAGCACCCATGTCCATCGTGTAACGATGACAAAACCCTCGAAACGTTTCCCTCTCTGGATCTATTCATTTTATAGACATGACCAAAAAAAAATATGAAAACGAATAATAACAGAGTCTAAATCCCCAGAAGTTGAGAATAATGCAAGTACTGAGCACCCTGTAATAACATCATGAAACCAATATCTCGACATCCAAGGACGCTGGAAGGAGGGGTGCTGAGGGGGCTGCAGCAACCCCTACAGGTCAGGGGCTGTAACTACAAGGCAAAACCTTTTTAACGATACAAATGAATAAGAGAAAAGTTTAGATTTTTATTTTCTGCACTACCATTTTGATGGTAGCACAGTAGTAGGCCTAAGAAATTCAATTTAACTGCTTCATCTCTGCAAACGTAGGAGGTTATTGTCTCTGGGAGCTCGTTTGAATTCCAGATGTTGCACCAATTGTTTTATGGGTGTCCCCAATGCAGAAATCATGGGACGATATTTTCTGTAATATTTGATTTCAGAACATTCTGTGTATTTTCTGTGCGGCCTGATGCACAAGTGTAGAATGTGGAGCAGATAACGTTAGCGTGAGCTGAGGGGATCACAGATTTTAGTGGCAGTAATACGTTCGCTGCCTGTTGCCGTGTAAAATCTTCCTAAAACTGGTATAAAATGTTGCGGGCCGTTCAAATGAATAGAAAAATCAATGAATGCATTGTATAGACTTTCTCTCAGCACCCTAAACTCTGGGTGACTTCCAGCGTCCCTGTCTTCATCGTTTTTTAATCTTGTGTGTGGCTGCACAAGGGTCAAAAGGCATAGAAAGCAAAGGGGTCCGTGCCCAAAGATTTCACCGGCTCAGACTATCCTCTTTCTCCTTGAACAAAATCAGTTTATGAGAGCCAGTGCACAGTGAGCATGGACAGCAGGAGAGCTGCCAGACTGGACGTCACACACTGGCAACCAAGGGTAGCTGAGGTAATCGATCAACAATACACATACATACATTTTTGAGTGAAGGGCACAGCAGTAAGGTGTGACAAGAAAATAAAATAATAATAACAAAGGCACAAACAGAGAGAGGAATTTGTGTGTATGACAATGTCATGGTCCACAGGTGCCCAAGAAGATCACACATGAAGACAGGAAGAGGACAAGGAGAAAAAAGGAAGCAGGAGAAAAGAGGGAAAAGAGGGAGAGAGATAGAAAAATAGGTCAGAAATACAGAAATACAAGTCTGGAAGGCTATAAGAGACTCAACCGAGGAATAAAACAAGGAAATCCAAGTTAGAGGATCAAAGCAAAAAGAAAGTCATAGCATGTTAGTAGCACGGCAAATGACACATGGTGCACGGCAGGCATGGGTGGAAGGTCACAGAAATGAAGGTAATGGGGGATGACAGGAGAAAGGAGGACGTTTTCAGACACACCGCCCTCTGCGGTCGAACGTTTCATGTAAACAAGGGGAGCTTGGAATCAGTCATGGCGCAGATCACCGGCAGAGTTTAGAGACAGATGACAACCTGGATGTGAGAGCACATCCACACGAGTCAAGCTATTATCTCCGGTTTGTAATGACCAGTGGCGTAATGAAAGGTCAATGCAAGTGCGTGCTTACTTGCCACCGACATGTAAACCTGATCCAAAGGCCTCATTAGTTCTTCCACTAGCTCATTACTGTAGACACAGTAGGACGTTTAGATTGTTGCTATGTGAGTTTTTGGAAGCTGGAGCCCAAGCCTGGAAAAAGAAATTATAATTTCAATTTCCAATTAGCAGCTCCCCAATAAGCCCGTGGAGTAATGACGCCACTGCAGGAGCATCACGGAGACGTGGTCATACAGAGGAATTAGTTGTTTGTGTAAAATACTTTTTGCAACTTTGCAGACACACTCATCAGAGAGGCTTCCTCTTTACGCCTATCAAAGAGTAATCGGAGCCTCATTATGTTTCTATCAAAACACACTTGATGTCACAAATCACTGGAATATAAAATGACCTTTCCAAGAAACAAGAAATCGGCTAAAAGACACACGTTGAATATAGATTTTAAAAATGAAATCGACTCAGTAGAGATTTGCTTAACGAGCGCGGCAGCTGTTTTGTGGTTAACAGAGAGGAAACTGTTATTTTACAAAGGTTTCGTCTTTTGTACAAGAACAATATTCACAGTGGAGACACTTCTTCAGCTACTGTTACACCACTGGTCATGACAGGGAGAACGCAAAACCATGCAAAACCACACAGCCAAAACAGAAGCTGGTTATGAGGGTCAAGTAAATGACATGGATGAGCTCATGTTATTGAAAACTGCAGAAGCTAATGGCTGATTTTCAGTCGTTTTAATCCAACGTCAACCTTAGCTGGGGAGATTTGGATGGATCAGCTCTCAACACCTGCCACGTTTGTGTCATGTTTATTATGATCAATTCATTTTGCATGATAATCGTGATGTTTTTGTCTCCCCACAGCTGGGCAGCATTTTATTTTATGCAAGTCTGAGGCGTGTAAATGCTGCACAGCTGTATCTGCAGGGGAGAGAATCACACCGAGCCAAATGAAATAAAGGTTTTGGACACGACAGATTCAGCAGATTTTTCCCCCAAAATAACTTAAAGCAACACTATGCAACATTTGAACCTTAACATAGGTTTATTTCTGAGCTGGTACAACCTGACTGATAGTTGCAGCTTCAATTGTCAGAATCAGCCGCAGCTGATCATCAAAAAGACTCAGAAGTCATTAAAAATCTGCTTTTAATCTCCAATTTTCAGCAGGAAGCTTTTAAAATAGGAAGAATTCTAAACAGAGTTTGGTGGATTTGTTACAGCAGCAGCTCCTCTGGTTCAGGAAGCCGGGGATCATGGGAAACATCTGCCGTTCAGTGAGCGGGGCTGTGCAGTCAGAGCTCAACAGGTGAGCTGCAGCTCAGTGAAAGTTACATAGTGTTGCTTTAACACTGTTTTCAGAGACTCTAGAAAACTTCAATTCACTTTGATCGATGTGTTTCTGCTGCCTGAGTTTTTGGAAAAATGAAAAAAGAAGAAAACAAGCAGACGGTTTGAAACTCAACCTCGACGCTGCATTCACAACTTGCGTCACTGCGCCAATTTAGCGAACGGAGCCGGTGTAATTGTTTACAACAGAGCAGCTGTTTTAGGCCAACGTTACCAAAAACAGCTGTGAAGCCTAAAATCAAATGCAGATGTTGCAGCTAAAAATAAACCTCAGCAATTTCCCAGGTGCATCGAAGTGACGGGAAAACAAACGGCAGCAACTCGGAAAAAAAAAAAAACAAAATCAAAAAACACGATATGAAAGTATTTCTGGGAATCAAAGGAGGACTGACTTGGACGGAGCTCATGTGAACTTCAGCTCTGATTGTATTATGAGTGATCCAAACCTCCCACTGCTATGTGGCTGAGGCCCAGCAAGGGCAAAAAGAAAATAACTGGTTTCTGTATGTGCCATGCACACGCAGCCGATGGCTTTTCTAGGGTCTCCGGTAAACAACAGACAAAATTAATCCAGCTGGAAGTGGCACCATGCAGAGACAGTACGGGCTGCGTCCCCACCGAACCAGACCACACACCCCCCCACACACACACACACCCCCACACACACAGTGCATGTTGTGGTCGGTCAGACCCCTGAACCGTGAGAGACCCTGATAAAACCAGACTGGTGGAAGAGAAAGATAGAGGCAGAGACAATAGAAATTAAAACAATGAGGGGAAAACAATGAGTGAGACAAACAGGGAGTTAGAAAAAGAACATTTTAATTTAAAAAAAAGTTTTACTAGACTTTTAAATAAATACTAAAT